AAAGGCTGTTTGTGTGCAAAATGTTCTTGGTGTTTTTGGAGGGGGCTGGCAGAGCTGCTGCACCATCTGGGTCAGGGCAGGGACTGAATAACAAGCGCTGCCCTGACCCAGATGCAGCGCAGAGCCTTTGCCAGCGCGCGGCAGAGGCGGCTCTGGAAAGAGGCCTCGCTTGTGCCTGCCCTGTGCCCTGGTGTGGGTCGGGACCCCTTGAACAGGCTACTTCTGGGGCTTGCAGCCTCCGGGGGGGTCCAGGCAGTGCCCACCGGAACGCAGCCCCTTCGCAGAGCCGAGCAGGGAGGGCTTTGCGGCTGTTCCCCGGATTCCTGCCCCAGCCATCAGAAACCTCGTCCCTGATTATGTCCGTGTTCAGTTTAGAGTGGGTCGTTCCCTGCCCTCTTTCTGCAAGGTCTGCCATTCCTTCCCCTGCCCAGTGTGGCAGTGAAATCCATCCCGTCCTGATCACGGAGGAGTTAATAGAATCATAGAATGGTTTGGGTTGGAAGGGACCTTAAAGATCACCTAGTTCCAACCCCCCTGCCATGGGCAGGGACACCTTCCACTAGACCAGCTCGCTCAAAGCCCCGTCCAACCTGGCCTTGAACACTTCCAGGGGTGGGGCACCCACAACTTCTCTGGGCAACCTGGTCCAGTGCCTCACCACCCTCATAGTGAAGAATTTCTTCCTTATATCTAATCTAAATCTACCCTCTTTCAGTTTAAAGCCATTACCCCTTGTGCTATCACTACATGCCCTTGTAAAAAGTCCCTCTCCGGCTTTCTTGTGGGCCCCTTTCAAGTGCTGGAAGGCTGCTATAAGGTCTCCCCGCAGCCTTCTCTTCTCCAGGCTGAACAACCCCAACTCTCTCAGCCTGGCCTCGTAGGAGAGGTGCTCCAGCTCTCAGGCCATCTTCCTGGCCCTCCTCAGGACCCGCTCCAAAAGGTCCATGTCCTTCTTGTGTTGGAGGCCCCCAAGCTTAATGCAGGGCTCCAGATGGGGTCTCACCAGAGCAGAGCAGAGTGGCAGAATCCCCTCCCTTGACCTGCTGGCCATGCTCCTTTTGATGCAGCCCAGGATACGGTTGGCTTTCTGGGCTGCAAGTGCACATTACCGGCTCATGTTGAGCTTCTCATCAACCAACACCCCCAAGTCCTTCTCCTCAGAGCTGCTCTCAATCCATTCCCCGCCCAGCCTGTATCTGTGCTTGGGACTACCCCAACCCACGTGCAGGACCTTGCACTTTGGCCTTGCTGAACTTCATGAGGTTCACACGGGCCCACCTCTCAAGCCTGTCAAGGTCCCTCTGGATCTGGTCCCCCCTTCCCTCCAGCGTGCCGACCACACCACACAGTGTGGTGTCCTTGGCAAACTTGAGGGTGCGCTCAATCCCACTGTCCCTGTCACCCACAAAGATGTTAAACAGCACTGGTCCCAATACCAAGCCCTGAGGAATGCCACTCGTCACTGGTCTCCACTTGGACATCAAGCCGTTGACCACAACTCTTTGAGTGCAGCCATCCAGCCAAATCCTTGTCAACTCAGTGATCCATCTGTGAAATCCCTGTCTCTCCAATTTAGAGACAAGGATGTTGTGCAGGACAGTGACAATGTCAAAAAGAATTTTCTCTTTATGTTCATCCTGGTTAGTCCCCGCTCGCACGGGGACCCAAGTGAAGCAGGGGCATCCCTCCCTCCATGAGAAACCACGGTGCTGCAAAGCTTTCAAAGCGTGCCACGCGCATGCTGCCCATGCAAACACGTCACCCCCTGACTGCAGCACCGTGGGCAGGATCAGGCACTCGGTGTCCGGCAGGACTGCCTCCCCTGCCACCTCCCCAGCTGCCTGCGGAGCTGCCGCTCCCGCTGCCAGCCCCAAACTCG